CGGACTCACCCACAGCTTCCCAGCAGGGCCTTATCAGTGCTGCACAGGCCTCTCTGCCGGCACGTGCGAGCACAGGGTGTGGACGAGGGGCATTTTAAACTCTGTTCCAAAATGAGGGAGGAGGATTGCAAATCTTGATGTCCTCAGCGAGAAAAGGGACTGCAAATTCTACACTGCCTCCTCCCATCCTCCTTCCCCCCACTGCCCTGAGGGCCCTGCATGCAAAGAGCTGCTCCTGCCCCGGCACCCTCGCACCGCCTGCTCACAGGGCGAGGGTTGGAAAGCGCTTGGAGACTTCCAGCTGCAGAGTTCAGGCTGGAAATAGAGCTGGGGAACTGGTTCTGCCCTCACCCCATTCCACTGGATTTTTTTGTAATTCTTTAGGAAGAGAGACAGAAAGTTGTTTTGTAGCTGCAGGTCATGTAAAAAAAAGAGCTGCATTTTAAAATCCAAGCAAGGAAGAGATGGGCTAAATGTGATTTGACAGGATCCCTCTAACCGCATGCCTCTTAATTTCCAAGTCTGATCAGAGCGACTGGACAGCCAAATAAATGAAGTAGTGCATATAATTGAATCTCTGCTCAGATGTTCAACTATCTGCCAGCACGCCCTGCCCTGCCTGCGGGAGCTGGGGGACGCGGCCCCCGAGCAGGACCCTCCCCTTGCAGACACTGACAGCTCCCGAGGGGAACAGGATCAGAAACACAGACCCCACCAGGCTGCCCTGAGATCCCACTGGACCGCAGGGGTCCTGGGGGGATCTGCCTGACCCCAAATCCCAAGTGATGGATGGGACCTGCTGGGGACAGTGCCTGGCTCCCGTCCTGCCTGCGTCAGCAATGATTACTTTTTTTTTTCTTGGATCATGCTGCCCTTTGGAGCTTTGGAGTTATCGAACGGGAGCAATGGGGGGGATGGGGGGTGTGCAAAGGGCCCCCATAGTGTGACCACGTCCCTTAAGGGTGAAAGGGGAGAGAAACAATAGACACGGGATGTCCCTGTCCCCCCCAGACTCGGGGAAAGTGGGGGGAAGGGGGTGTTCGAGTGACCCCACGGGGGCGCGGGTCACCACCCGTCTGTGTCCCCTCCCGTGCCCCCGGAACGCGACACCGCGCAGCGCCCGCAGCTCGGTCACAGCCGTTCCGCGTGGGGCCCGGCGGCGGAGCGACCCCGACCGCGACCGCGACCCCCGCACGGCCCCGGCGCAGCGAACCCCGCGGGCAGCGGTGCCGGGCGGGCGCGGGGGGGACTCGGCACTCACCGTCCTGCGCGGGCACGGCGGGCACGGCGAGCTCGCGGATGCGGCGGCTCCAGGCCTGGGCGATGCGCAGGTTGCCCTCGGCGTCGGGACCCCGGGAGACGCGGAAGGTCCGCTCCAGGCGCTGGCGGGCGGGCGGCCCCCAGCGCGGCCCCCGCAGAGGGTAACACACCAGCGAGAAGCAGGCGGCGGCCGCGGCCGCGGGGAAGGCGGCCGAGCCCACGCAGTCGGCCAGGCGGAGCGCGGCGTCGGGACCGGCCGAGCCGCCCGAGCAGCCGCCGGCACGCCGCACCTGCAGCTCCCGGGCCGTCAGGGTCAGCGAGCAGGCGGCGGCACCGGGGGCCGGCCCCGCGCCGAAGATGCCTTGAAGCAGCACCGGGCCCCCGCCGGGCTCCGGGGGAGCGCGGCGGCCGGCGGCCATCGGCGGAGCGGGCGCGGAGCGGAGCGGGAGGCACCGGGGAGCGCCGCCCGCCGCCGCTCGCTGCTGACGCCCGGCGATGGCAGGCGGGGCGGCCCCATTCATAAAAATTTAACCCACCCACCCCCCGGCCACCTCTTCCCCCGCCGAGGGGGGCCCGTCCCGGGGCTGGTCCGGTACCCCCCACACCCCCCCGCCAGTTGCCTCAGTTTCCCCAAGCGCCGCCCCGCGCTCCGGGCTGTGCTCCGCGGGGGAACCGGCTCTGCAGACGGGCGGGGGCAAAGGGACGCCGTGGGTTTGCCGCGGGTGGTTCTGCGCTGCCGGGGTGGGTGTCTGGCGTGGGTGCTCCCACGGTGCTGGGGATGGCGAGGAACAGACCCACGGTCACGCCGGGAGAGGGGAGCAGAGCAGCCGGCAGCCACCCCCGCCCCAGTTCCTGCACATAATTCCCAGCAAGGCACGGATGGGCGCTGGCAGGTGTCCCTGGAGCCCCCACGTTGGACTGAACAACGTTTTAATACCATTTCTGCATCTGTCCAAGCATGAGAGGAATGAAGTGGGGGCCTGGAGAAATCGAGGCACGGCGAGGGGTGAGAACAGTGGGTAGACGGCGTGGGACACTTCCAGGAGGGAGGATGGAGAGGGATGATGTCCTACCCACTACTGGTGGCTCGCCATCAGGTATCCGTGGGGTTTGGAGGTTGCCATGGGCATGAAGCCCCGCGGAGGGAGGTGGGCTGTGCTGTGAACCCCACCTTGGGGCACAGAGCTCTGGGGACAGAGCCCAGGGGACTTGTCTGGAGGGTGCCAGCAAGACTGGGAGCTGCTTTTTGTTCACGGCAGCTAGCAAAAACCATTGACAGCAGTTTTTGCTGGCAACAGGACTGACCTCACCCTCCCAAGGGACTGCTGGGCTCCAAGGGGTCTGGCCCAGCCCAACAAGGATTTTTTTTTTTTTTGCCAACCAATTCCCCATGGATGTAGCTCTGTCCTAACCTTGAGCTTGCACCTCAGGGAGGCATCACTCCTCACACTTAGGGCAGTTTAATTAGCAGCGAGCCCTCTGTCCCTGCTTAAACCTTCTGGAACTGGCCAAGAAATTGCAGGGAGGGCACGGGATGACCAGCTGGGCAGATAACATGGTTGAGTCTTGTTTTCCCAGAGCAGACCTATGAAGAGAGCCGAGATGCTGTGATTTGGAGCACTGCGCTTTCCAGAAAAGACTTCCCTGAGTGCTGTGGGTACAAAGGGATGCTCAGAGGGGCAAAACTTGCTCCCAGCCCTGATGCTTTTGGCTTGGGAACTGCAGCACTCGCCGCTGATTCTGGGTGAGATTCGGGCTCAGCCTCTTCCCCGGCCGCTGCCATGACACAGTCCAGCGTTTGTAAACAGCCCGAGGTTCCTCAGCAAGGTGTCATGGGAGGAAATAGCTGGATGCCGGGGAGTGCAGCGTCCTGACCTGCCCCTCACCCTTCTCGGTGACTAACTCGCTCTCAATTTCCGCTCAGGAAGGCATGACTCGTGTTGGGAGGATGTGAGAGCAGCTGACCCATTGCTCCTGGCAGGTGCCATGGGACGATGAGGCTGCTTTGGGCTCTGTCCTCACCTACATCCGTCCAAGGCCCTGTGCCCCTGTGCTGCAGGGATCCCCCTTTGTCCTGCCAGCCTGTGCTTTAAATAGGAGTGGAATGCCCGTCCAGGCTCTGCTGGCCATGCTCGTGCTGTGGGAAAAGGGGCTGAGAGTGGCTTCATGGCTAAGTGTCAGGGCTGGCAATGAATGCAGGAAGGGTTGGGGAAGGGCTGTGCATGGTGGGGATGCCAAGGGCTGGGGGCTGCAGCCAGGTTTGTCTCAGATGGGGAATGGGACTGGCACAGGCTTAGCCTCTGTGATGGCAGGGGAGACACAGACAGGGCTTTTCAATCTCAGTCCTGGTCTGTGGGGACTTCCCAGAAGACTGACCTGATATTGTACCACCCTTGGATGCCCACTCCATGCTATGACCAGTGCAGTGGCCACCACCAGCCCCAGGCAAGTCCCTTTGCACTCCGCAGCCACAGACTGATTCAGCCCAGTCCCACACGGACACCACTTGCTTGCCTCCAGATGTGATGTCTAACGCGGAAGTGGGATCACTTCCTTCCCCGTGCTGATAACCAGTCGTTTGGGGCTATCTTAATTATGAGAGCCTTATCGAGGCTCCTCGACCCCAAGGGCAGCCCAGAGGGTGCTCAGCAGCTCCCAGCTGTGGGCAGGCGACTGCCGGTCGGGTTTGTCCTGATCGGCTCCATTCCCGCCCGCGCGGCGCTGCTCAGGCCGTGTGTGTGGGAGGGAAGTGCCGGGATGCGACGTGGGGATGTGGAATGGAGCCGGCGTGATGGGGGGACAGCCCGCGGAGAATCCCCCCACTTCCTTCCTCACTGCAAAGAGAACTCATCCATGGAGCAGAGCATCCAGTCCCACCATGACCACCAGTCTCCCTTCAAGAGCAAACACTCCTCCAGCTCCTGTCCCCTGAGGAATCCTGGGGTATCCCAGGATACCCCATCTGACTCTAGACATCATTTGGTGAAGGTTTGTGCATTTGAAGCACCGTGCCCTGGGTTCGCTGGGCAAGGTGATGTGTGCCCTGAGTTTGGGGAAACTGAGGCAGAAACAGCAGACAAGATTTGTCTTGAGTTGTGCAAGAAGCCAAGGGTTAAATACATCAATAACCTCCCTCAGCTCCCTCTGGCCCAGGACTCCTCCTGCTCCTCTCCCAGCTGCTGGAGGAGCTGATTTGCACTGGGAAGGAAAAGCGCAGAGCCTGGGGGCCTCCCACGCCTTCCATAACCCTTGGTGCCCCCAGGGCCTGCAGCAGAGACCTGAGGCTCTCGGTACAGGGAAGGCGCGGATTTCGGGGTCCCACTGCTACATCACAGCCCCAGAGGAGGCGTGCAGAGGACGTGCCTCTGCTGCAAGATGAACTGCAGCTTTTCCCTTCGAGGCACACAGCTCCTCCACATCCCTGCCCGCTCTGCCGCGTCCGCCAGCAGCCACCCGGGGACGGGAACGGGAGGGGGATGCACTCCTCCCGAATCCATCTCTTTTAGCATCGTTCCCACTGCTGAAGGTACGTGTCTCAAGGTGGAGCCAGAAATAGCGCGGCTGGCGCTGCATCGCGGCTGGCAGGGCTGCAGGCTTGGCAGGGGGACAGGCACCGACTGCAGCAGTGGGAACTTTCCAGGCAGCTCCTGCGGGAGCGGCCGGTGCAGAGATGGAGCTGTTTCCATGCAAACCCTGCGGATCAGCCCCTGTGGGGCTGGGGCTGACAGGGGGGACCAGCACAGAGCAGGAGGGGACAGAACTAACAAAGATATCTCCTGGAGGAGAGTGACTGAGAGATCACATCCCACCTGAACCAGGACACAGGTCTGGCCTCTGCCACTTATTTGCTGCAGAACTCGAGAAAGTGGCTGCACCTTCTACCTGTCTCCATGACCCAAGGGTGGCAGGTTTCCCCCAAAATCCAGCTTCTCTCAGGGCCCAGGGAGGATTCTTAGCCTCCAAGGAGCTCAGGTTTTTTGTGGCAGCTCCTAAATCACAGCCAGGCTCTGCAACTTCTTGGGGGCTCTTCCCCAACGCTGACCCTCCGCTGAGCTCTCGCAGCTGCCAGCACAGCCCTGAACAATGCCGACGAGCTGAGCTCATTCCTCCCAGCTGATAATTTGCTTTAAAATATTTCTGAGCTCAGGCCTCCTCAGGGAAAACACTCCCAAACGCTAGGCAAAAAAGCTGCTGAGTCTGGAGGAACCACACACCCACCATTCGCTCGCCGAGACGTCCCCCCCGATGACAAGCCCTGGCGTCAGAGGGACTGAGGCCAAAGTCTGTCATTTGATCTCCCCCTTCGCTGGGGGAAGCCGAATTTCAGGCCGTCCAGGGCTTTTACCACTTCCCGGTAGCGGTTTCCTGCCATGATGTGAGCGCAGGAATTTTTGGGAGGTGAGTCAGAGGCTGCAATGAGAACCACCTGGCTGGGGCTGGGTTGGGAGGCTCGATCCCGATGCAGGGGTGATCCCTGCGGCGATGCTCGATGCCGGGCGGGCAGCATTCCCAGAGTGGAACTACTTACAGGGGCAAACACATCATTCCATCCCAGACCCCATTTCTGGCCTGGGAAAGAAGAAGAGGGATTTGCTGCCTCAGTTCCCACGGCTCCTCCTTCCTTGCCGGGCTGGGATCGGTATGCTCTGGCTACCCCACCCGGGCTCCAGGGAGAAACTTGGGTAAGAATAAAGAGCAAAACCTCGTCCAGCGCTGCAGGAAGCCGCCTGGAATGGCTGTCCCACCCCAGTACCGGGTTGTCCCGAGCACGGAACTGCCCCAAAAGCAGTGCGGAGGCTTGGCTCTCCCTGGGGAGCAATGCGGGAGTTGGCAGAGCTGAGAAACTGCCTTCCCTGGTCTCTGAAATTAAACATACAAAATGAGTTCCTGCTAAAGGAACCTCCCAGGTTTTGCCTGCTGGGCTATTAAAGCTCCATGACCCCGTGCCCACTCTCTCCCCAGCATTACTCAAACCCCTCCATACAGAGAATAAGTGAATTGAATCCAGAGAGTGAGACTGAGCCGGGATAAGCCTTTGGAAAGGAGCTAAAGCTGCTCAAAGCCGGCACTGTTCCCTGACCCGCCCTCCTAATCCTGCCTGGCTGATAATGGAATAATAAAGGGCTGCACAGCCTCGCTCTCTGCTGCTCTGTGGGGGAGGTTCCTGCTGCCTCTGTACATGCCAGGAGCTGGGATATTAGTGACTCCCTAAGTAAACAGAATTGCTCCTTTCTTCTTCTTTGCCTGGCTGTAAAACCGAGCATGACCTTCAGCCCGCAGAGAAATCAGAGTCGCTCCCCTTTCCAGGAGAAAGGCTGGTTGTGGCAGTGATAACACCGTGATCTCTGCCTGCCACCCTTCCCAGGGCTGATCCCAGCCCTGCAGCTTCAACAACCATCCCTGTGGGACTCCCAGGGCCACTCCTGCGAGGCTTTGGCCTCTCCCCGCAGGGATGAAGCCAGTAATTCAGTGAGGGGGAATATCAGGAGCACAGAATGGGGGGTTTGGAACACCCAGCCCCTCCAAGGTGTGCACACCTTGTCTGCTGTGCCAGGAGTTGCCCTGTAGCAGAACCTATGAACTTGTTGCATCTCAACCTCAGCAGCTGGGAAAAGGGCAGGGAAGTGACAATGCTGATGAGCTCCATTCCCTATGGCCAGGATGGCTGAGCACCTCACTGGGCAGCAGGAATGGTGACAGCAGGAAGGTGCTGGGGGACCCAGGGGCAAAGCAGAGGATGAGGGCACTCAGAGGCCACAGCATCATACCATGGCTGATGAGCGAGGAGCCAGCTGGGAAGGGGATAAACAGCCCTTCCTTCTCCACATGCCTGATTCCAGGCAGGAAAGGCAGGGAAGGGCTTTATAGAGGAGGGCAACAGCAGGTCTCTGGGAGGCTGAGAGCTCTTCAGAGTGATGTTCTGTGGCTCCTGGAGTGGCAAGATTCCCTTCCCACCCTTTGGGCATGTCTCCCCGCTTGGGTGTCCCTGCAGCAAGATGTCCCTGGCTCCCCTGGGAACAGCCATTTCTCTGGTGGGTGCAGGAGGGATCTCAGGGAGCAGTAAGCTTCCAACATCACAAAAAGTCTGGCTCCCACCAAATGTTTTGAAGGACAAAGGCAGCAGCCTGTGAGGAGTGACCTCTGTACCGTGGGTGCTGTGACTGCTCTCAGCCTGGGGTTGGGGTACCCAGGAGGGGTGTCTGGACTCTCTGGCTGATGAATGTTGTGGATTCATCCCAGGATGATGCCAGCCTGGAGGCCTGATCAGAATCCTATGCCTGGCTGGTGCTGCCTCCTCAGAGTGAACTTGGGCAGCTGATGCTGTCAGCTCTCACCTCCCCTTGGGGAACGAGCTGGGATGCGGGAGTAGAGCTGGAATAGCCCCTGCTCTGACAAGGCATGAATTTAGGACCTGCAGGAGGCACAGCAGGAGGGAGGAGTGGGGCTGGAACTACAGGGACACGTAAGGTGTCACCAGGTATGGTGGAGGAAGACAAAACTCTCCATCCCAGTCCGTGGGCAGTGCTGGTATACAGAGGGGACATGGATAATTCCTTTTTTGAAGTGTCAGTGTGAGCGGGCTGATGGCAGCTCCCAGCTGAGTCTGTGACAGGGAGGCACTGCTGGAGGCACCATCACAGCTGTGACATGCTGGAGCAGCTGGAAACCACTGGGTCATGGAGGGGAACCTCGTCCATGTCCTGAACGAAGCCCACCAGGCCTCCTCCTCCTCACTCATGCCCAGCTGGGAGGACACAGGCCAAGGGACGATGGTATTGCACAGCAACTTAGAGAAGTGCCAGGAAAAACCTCTCCCTCCAGGGTGAACCGAGTGATGTGGGGTGATGCTGGTGATGAAATTAATGCTGTTTGCCTTCCCAGTGATACATAATTATTGTCATATACCCTCATTTCTGCTGCACTGTGGGGTGCTCTGATCGATCCTGACCATCCGTCCTGATCCTGACAGTGTTGTCACCTCCTGTCACTCTGCCAGCTGCCAAGGCTGAGATGTACATTGTACATATATTAAAAAAAATTAAAATAACATGTAAATATCTATATATATATATATTTGTTCAGCCAAGTTTCACCTTTATATATATATAGATATATATTCCATGCATATAACATATATAGCATATAATATATACTTTATAATTACGATACACATATAATATGCATATTATATGTGATATGTACACTATATATTATGTATTTAATATTTTATATACGCTGTGTATTTTATCTATAAAAGTGTATAATATTTATATTATATGCGTTAAGAAATTTAATTTACAGGTGTTATATATGCTATATATAAGCACACTCGTAGTGCATGGAAAGTTCAGCCCAGCGCTCTGCCAGATGGGCTGGCGCTGAACTTTTCTGTTTAACTAAGCCATTGAATGCCTGTACCCGTGAGGATTCCAGAGCGGGCAGGGAGCGCTCCCCCAGGAAAAAGGTGCGGGATCCGCGGGCCGGCCGGGTCCTCCCGCCGCCCCCGCCACAGCGCGGGGCCAGAGCGCCGCCGCCGCCGCCGCGCTTCCGTTTCCCCCGCCGCCATCTTCGGCACGGGCACTTCAGCCACCGCGGACACCCCGCGCCTCTCACCGACGGGCAGAAGCGGGAGGCGGCCGCGCTGCGAGCCGCCCTCGGGCAGCGGGAGGGGTGTTTATCCGCCGAGGAGGGACGTTTCTGCCGCTGTCCTCCCGAGGTACCGGTGCAGTTCGGGCAGGCGGTGAGGGGACGCCGTGACGGGAGCGCGGCTGCGGTGCCCTCACCTAAGATGGCGGCGGGGGCGGGCTTTTCCCGCCGAGAAGATGGCGGCGGAGGGAGCGGCGCTCTGGCGGGGTGGCGGAACTCGCTCGGCTGGGTGAGGGGAGCGGGATGGGCCCATCCCCCACAAAGACCTCCCCCTTCACAGGGACTCCCTGTCCCGCCACGGAGAGCTCGGTCCAGCCCTGCTACATCACAAAGAACCCCCCAGCCTTCCTCCCTCAGCTCACCCGCACCTTCTCCAGCCAAGGCAGCCCCTCTCCGCCTTGCTATCCCCCCTTAATTTTAGGATCATCCCTCCCCTGTTGCATGAGGGGCCACTGGGTGGGCGTGGGGTGGGGTTGCCCGTTGCCTGTCTACCCTTTACTTCCCAAGGCAACTGCTGCTCCATTTTATTTTAATAGTCATAATTCCCACTCTCCCTTTCGTACTTTGCCGCAGGAATGGACCAGCAAATCCATAGGTAGCGGAAGGGTCCCCACCCTCTCCTTCCCCCTCCTCCTCCCCACCCCTTAAGGGGCGGTGATCGCGGCGGAGAGGAAAGAAAAGGATGCCACGGAAGCTGTTGTTGCCTTACAAATCTGTTTTTTCTCACTTTCGAGCTCCACGGGGGTTGCATGACTCTTTAGCGATGAACGCGGCCAGAAGTGGCTACCGGGTCTTCTCGGCCAACTCCACTGCAGCCTCCACCGAGCTGGCGAAGAAGATCACGGAGTAAGTTGCCTTCTTCTTGGAGTTTCTTTCTCCCCCATCGCTCCCCGGCGCAGGCAGGAGCCCTCCCGGGCGGCTGGAGAACTTCTGGCATCCTCCTGCCTTCCCAAGGCTTCTCCTGCGGGCACCTTTGTGGAGATTTTGCACTGGGAATCTTCACCAGCTCTGCCTGACCCCGTGATGGAAATGGACCCACCACTTTCTCCCTTCTTTGACGTATATTTCACCGCTGGAAAGGCTGGGCTGCAGCAAAAGCTGTTACTTTTGGGGAGGGAGGAGGTGAAATTTGGCTGGACAAACCTCAGAAAAGCGCTTTTAGCAGGTTTGGGACAGGCTCAAAACTTTCTCCTGACCTTGTTTTCCCAACAGCTTCGATGCCTAGGGCAAGGGGAGTGTCCATGTGCACCTCGGCACAGCACCTTGCACTGACGAGAATGGATTTTGGGGAGCTGGGAGAGCTGGGCAGCCTGTGCTGTTTGGTTCAGGATAAAAGTCTGGCCCGTTTTCTTCAGCCCATCAGTTTAGCAGATTTTGACCTTGTCTTGTCCGGGATGCTCTGGGTCCTGTTGAGTGAAGGGTTGTGAGAGCAGCCTCCAAAATGGGGCTCTTGGTGCACAGAGCTCTGAGTTTTCCCTGGCACTTGGGGTTGAATTAGTTTGGTTCAAACTGGGGCAGTCCCAGCTGAAGGGAGTATTCTGAGAAGGGCGTCTGTGTATCGGGCTGTCAACTTAGAACAGGATCTGGATTTTCTTTATGCTGTTTCTCAGCTGCAGTTCATAGGCAGCTGATCCCATTATCGAGGGGTCTCAGTGCTTGGTTACCTGCTGCAACCCACAGCATTCCAGTTATCCTTGCTAGGTGCCTGCTGTCCCATTCCCATCTCCAAGGGTGTGCTTAAATTGGAGGCAGGAATTAAGTACAGGTGTGCTGCCACCTTAAACTGCAAGAACACTTTGCTGTTCATCCTGCTCGCTTAATAAACAATGTTCAATCCTTAGTACAGATTATCTCCATGGAGCTGATTTGGCTGTTTGGCTGGGAGGTGTGTTGGATAATAGTGATGGACTTCTTTAAATGTGAGGCTAAGAGGAAAATCCTTGTGTTTGGGAGTGGAAAGGGTTTTTTTTTTCTGCTCATGTATTCTTGCTATATTTGGTCAGTTCTGTTTCACTTTCCCTTCAACGAACTCTGAAACTAATGTATCTCTCTATAAAAAAGTAAGTTTTGCTGCAGCAGATGAGACAGAATTTACAGAGCTTGTCCTGTTACGTCAACACAGCACAACAGAATTCCCCTGGGGACGAGCTCTGATTTCTCAGGACTGGAGGAGCAAACGGGCAATCCTTCTTCCTTGCTCTTTGTCTTAAAAATAACTCCCTTCTTTTCAAAGATGAAATATGAAGAGACATGGAGAGGCTTCCCCAGGCCACGGCGCTGGCTGGGGTGATGTGCTGATGTTATCCCAGGGATGCTCTGGGGGAAAAGAAGCAGGATCTGGATGCAGAATGATCTCCTGGCTCCCTCCTTGATCTCTCACCAAGTAAATTTCTAATAGGGGCGATGTGGGGTTTTTCCCTTGGCTCTACCATCAGTGGGATGTTGGATGCTCTGGTGGTGACACGAGCACATCCCTGTGACACACAGCTGCTGCTTAACTGTGGCTTAAGGACATCTTTGTTATCTTTGTTGTGGGTGCAAAATCTGGAACTGTTCACAGTACAGATTTATCCACAGTAAAAATCTCTCAAAATTAAAGGTATTTTCAGCATCTAATGCAGTGATTTTGCACTGCTTTCCCTTAGGAGTTCAAGGGCTGTTTCAACTGATCTGTAACACATCCCTTGTTCTTTCAGGTTGCAAACGATGCGTGGCTGCTGCCTTTCCCCCTGTCTCACATCCCAGCCTGTTCTTTGCTGGGGAGGTCAGTTGCACCTTTAAATAGAGTTGGAGCAATCTTACAAGGGTGAGTCTGTCCTCTAATATTGTGCGTTCTTTTTAAAGTTTTTTTATGACCTTGAGCAAAAGCAGTAAAAGAACTTTAAAACAGCACGCAATATTAGGAGGGCCCCTTGAGACACCTGTCCATCTGGGCTCTGTTTTACCTGTAGGTATGAACTTAAGATCTCTACTTGAGTAGTTCTGACTTATCCATTTTAAAATCTCAAGCCCAGAGAGGAGCAGTGTGACACTGACCAGCTTGCAGACACCTGATTTATTTCCTCGTTTTGTTTACAGCAAAACTTCCAGAGCTACTTTCGTTTCAGGCTCTGAGCATCATGTTCTGGCACAGTTCTTATCTTCATGATTCCCCTTGAGCATTCTCTAGTTATGGGACTGTGACTAATGGTCAGTCTTACTTCCACTTCAGGTTTTCAGAGCTTTAGTTGATAGTGACTTGCAGGGAGAGGAGATGGTGCTGGTTTATGAAGACTTTGTGAAACATGAAATAATGAAGATGTTCCTTATATTCAGTACCATTGAAACATAAACCCATATATTTACTTTTCTCATATAAATTAGGAGTGATGATTATTTTATTTTAAATTCTTTCCATGATGGAAAGAAAACTCTTGCTCTAACTAGGACACTTGGCATCTGATTACAGGCTGCATTTTCAGGGGAGAAAGATAATTTCTGTGACCAGTGCTGGTCCCTAATGGGCCTGTTTGTTGCTGGGGGGAGGGAGATACAGCAGTCTTTTTGATCTTTAATCCAACAGATGCATTTAGATCTCCCTCTGACTGCAGTGCTTGGCTCAGCAGGTACAAATATTACATTCTACTCACTGCTTATGTGTTTGGCTTGGAGGGGGTTGGTGATTGAATCTTGCTAATGCCTCCCCAGTGCTCCTGCAGCTCCATGATGTGGGATGTGATACTGTCTCACTGCCAACTGTGGATGTGAGTATTCCAAAGATTCACTTAGTCTGCAACATGGAAAGTGCTGGTGATCTGAAGATAAAGCATTGCCATGAGCCTAAACAACATGGATTTAGGAAAACATGGGATTTGTGTTCTGACCTCTGGCTGCAGGGAGCTGGGTCACAACTCTAAATCCAGGGTGGTGTTTTCTGTGACTGAGTGGGAAGTGATCCCTGCTTTGGGGGAAGACAGTACATTCAGAGGACTTGCAGCAGCCTCCCTCAGCTGAAGAGGATTTCTGGTAGGAAATGTATTCTTTAGGTCATCTTGCCAGCACATGAGAGGGTGGCAGAGGGAAGTCAGAGCATCTCTGTGCAGTTTAGGTGGAGCACAGAATGAGGCTGAGCAGGCCTCAGACGTGGAGCTTTAGGGGAAGTTCCTTCATCAGGAGTGAGCTGGTAGGACTAGAGGAAGATCTGCCTGGTATTTGCCAGTAGTTGGGCTGCATGGCTTTGGTGTGGATGGAACAAGTGATTAATGCCAGAGGAGCAGTAGGGACTTTTCTTCAAATATCCAGTCGTGCTGGGTGGATGGAGAGAGGCAAAGAAGAGCTCAGATAGTTTTAAGGATATCTAAACAGATTGTATCCAGGAAGCTGCCATTCCCTTTCCCTTTCCTGGCTGTTCTTATACTGGGGGATTAGGAAGTGCACTGCAGAGCTGCCATTGTGCTGGCTGGACCATGACTGATCTTTATTTAAAGATTTGCTAAAGTTAGAAAAGCACTTCAGAGTCTGGCTTGATTTGGTTGCAGTTGGGCACAGCACAGACCCTCTGTCCTCTGCTCCAGCTCCTTCTGAGTCTGCACTGGTTTCTGGAGTCTCTAAGTCTGGGGAGAGTTGGGAGTTTGCAGAGCTGAGACCAGGGAAAGTGTTTATAATGAAGAGGATATTGTCAAAATAAAATATGGTAATTAAGAGCTTTGTGTGCAGATTTCTCTTCAAATTGAATATTTGTGCTGTGAGCTGGCCGGAAGCTCCCTGTGGAGATAACCTGACAAATGTCTTGGATTCTGGTCACAGAGAGGGAGAAGGAAACACAGCCTGGGCTGAGGACACTTCTCAGTGGCACCGAAACAGGCTCTGATGGCACAAAATACTGAGAGTACATTTGCCCCTTGAAATTTGATTCAGCTGAACATGGAGTCTCTTTGGCTGCCCTTTGTCTCGAGAGTCTGGTACAGTGGTTTTTAACAGTCTTCAGTCGAGCATTTTAAAGTACAATCTGATACAGTCTCACAGTGTTTCCTAAAATACTGCAGTGTGTCACTTCCTTATTAAACTATAGGTGACTCCTGAGCTGTTTGCATTTAGATGTGAATTTGAAGCAGGTTTTATAAACACTTTTGTATTCAGAGCTTAATATCCTCTTGGCATATTTTGAGACTGCAGAAAGTTAGATCATCCTTTCTCGGCAGTGTTTACAGAGAGATTCCAGATCAACAGGAATTTTGACTGACCAATAAAGCCATGAAGAGTTGTTTTTTTCTCTTAGATGCTGTCATGCCCCAGAGGAGTTAATTTAGTGATGGAACTGGTGTGAGGATAGCAGCTCATTTTGCTTGGAGATGTGATTTATCTGCAGGACCTAAAATGCTACTTTTCCCAGAAGCAGCTTTATCTCTGCTGGGTGTGTGGTCTGGGTTACCTGCAGTGGCACCTTCTCTGTCCTAGGGTAGGTCTGCCTGTGTCTGCAGTTGAGTGATCAGTAACTGTGGTATAACCAATTGGGAACTTCAGGATTGAGAGGATTTTGAGAGAAAAGAGTTTGGATGGAAGAGAAAACAAGGGAAAGGTAATAGGAAGGGGAAATTTATCTTTAAACTCTGGCTGCTGCCAGGCTGTGTGGTTGATAAGGCTGTGCTCTGCCCTTGACTTCCATGCAAATATCCCTTTTGATAAAAGTCCTCTGGAATTTGGTGCTTTACAGCAGGAGTTGCACCAACACTCCCTTCTTTATTGTCCTTGACTCAGCCAAGGTTTATCAGACTCCTTCCCTGGCTGATATCTTGTCTAACCGAAGCCTCCAGCAAGGGATTTGGTGCAAGGTGTGCCCCTGGGGTGCACATACCTCAGTGCTCTGGGGGAGCTGCCTGTGGCTCCTGGGACTCTGGAGTGCTACAGGCAGGGCTGATCTGGGACTTTAATGGGCAGTTTTATCTCATATCCACTGCTCTTGTTTACTTGCAGTCAGTAGTTGGAGCAGAGCTGGGATTTATTGTCTGACCAGAGCGACTCATTCCTCTAAGATGGCATCTGTGTCCTGACTCTTCTGCAGCTCCCTGCACCCGGGTTTGACAACTGAGCTGTTTTAGTGCCCCAAGCCAAGCTGTTTTAGTGTTCCTCTTGCCATGAGGGAGCCAACTTGCCCTTCTGATTTCTTGTTTCAGCAGCGCACAAACTGCATTGCTGCTGTATTGTGAGTAGGAGAGTACTGGGCTCTGGTTTCTGCTGGAATCATGAAGTTAGAAAACACCTTTAAGACTGAGCACAGCTGTTAACCCAGCTCTGCCAAAGCCACCACTAAACCACATCCCCAAATGCCATATCTACATCTTTTAAATCCTTCCAAGGATGGTGACTCCACCATTTCCTTGGGCAGTGTGTTCCAAGGGTTGACAACCCTTTCAGGGAAGAAATGTTTCCTAATATCCAATCTAAACTTCCCCTAGCATAACGTGAGAACATTTCCCCTTGAGCACCACAAATATGGTTTTGTTTGCCACCACTTAGCAGTAAAGTGCCACCTTCCAAGGGGTGTTTTACTTAGATGAGTTTGGCTGGACTGGTTTTGGAGCTTTCTTTCCTGCCATGAGATTCAGGGCTGACTAAGAGCACTTGCACAGTCTCTCCAATGGATTTCTTTTCCCCAGTACTGTGGTAGGATTGTGCTGTGTGCAGTGAAGTCAGGGTGTACGTGCCTCCAAGGGGAGCTTGCAAGACTTGCCATGCAGTTGTGGAGGAACAAGTGTGAGTCACTAAACAATTCCAACCACACGCTGCTCTGGGGTGGGTGGATGTGTGTGTATGTTTCTGAACTTGTTTAGACTCAGATGCCTTTGCAGTGATTAGGACTAAGCTTGGTGGTTGCAAATGCCAGACTATCCTCATCAGGACAGCAGGATCCCACCTGCAAAACTCACCTCTGGTGTGGCTCTGTCCCTGAGGTGCCCAGGATTACTTTTACTTGACCAGCTGCCAGCTCTTTTTGAAGATACTGAAGGTACTGAGGATGCCTTTGCATTGCAGCTGCAAGTTTTAACCCAGCTGGGCTGAGAGGAGCCCAGTTAGAGATCTGTGAGACTTGTCTGGCCTGGGCTGCAGGGTGATGCTGCAGTTGGTTCCCCAGCAGGACTGGTGACAGTCTGGCACGTCCAGCTCTCGAGGTGGCAGTTTAGTCACCAGCCCAGCCATTGCAAAACGTGCTGCCAGACACTTGGTGGGGAGGATGTGTGTGCCAGAGACGTGCTTTGGAGCCAGCTAAGCAAACATACCCCATGGCATCCGAGTGTCTGTTAACTCAGCTGTCCCAGGCACACTCTCCAGGCCGGCTTCTAGCTGGGACCTCCAGCTTTGGTTCACACCTGAGCCCAGCAGTTACTGATGGGACAGAAGCATGCCAGGGTCAGGCTGTGCTGCTCTTTCACTTCTGAAAGTGCAGATCTTTGTGACAATTGAAGTGCAAGGCTGAGTTAGTGGGTAAGGAGATGGGATGAGACTGACTGCTGAAGGCTGTACACCATAAAAAAAAGAGTAGAAGGTATGGACTCTTCTATTTAGGGTTAGTCCTGATCTGCAGAATTTTGGCACATATTCAGGTAAATACAGTACAAGTGCAGAGGAAACTGCTGCCATAATCAGTGTGGTGAACAAAGGTATTTTTCAGGCCTAAACTGTTTCCTAATTCATTGTGTGGCCATGGCCACAGAGCAGATCCTGGGAGAGGAGGGATTTGTCCTGACTCCATCTCTGCTGCGGGGTCTCAGAGCTGAGGCTCTGGGTTAAAGCACAAATGCATTTAAGTGCTTACTAATGGATTACTTGTCAGTACAGTTAAATACTGAAGTGTCACCTGAGGGAAAAGTCTGCATTTTGGAGCCTTTTAAAATGCTCTTCAAAGTGAGTCTTTGTTTTGTAAGAAATAAATTTAAAAGAGGAGGGTGACTCATCTTTGTTGCATGAGTGTTATAGCTTTGATATTTGAGAAAAGGAAAGAGTAATTTGAAAAAAAATTTAAAATTGAAGTTAAAATCTCATTAATCATTTGAGTTTTTTTAGAAGGAAAGTCCAAGGAGGAAAAAAAAGGAAAAGAGGTGGAAGTCAAAAAAAGTGCCTTAGGTGCCATTAATTGAGTCTGAGTAAATCATTCAACTGCAGTTGCACATCAGACCTGCCCAAGGGGGCATTGCACAGGCTGGCAAGGTGTCCTTTGCCATCAGGAGTCGCAGCCTGTGGTCAGTCATACAGGCTTTGGGTACAGCAGTGACCTGCTGCACGGTGTCCCAGGGCCCTCTCAGGGGCATCAGAGGGAAGCAGACCCCCAGAGAAGGGGATGCTGTAGTTCTGCAGCCTGGCTGGCCCACTCAGCTCCCTCTTGGGCAGTGCTGTGTTTTGGTGGTGTGTAATGTGGTCCCTGCTTTGCAGCACAAATTGCTGGCTTCTTCCATTTCTAATGTCCTTTTCTTTCTTTCCAGGCGTCTCGGTGCTGAGCTGGGAAAATCTGTGGTGTACCAGGAAACCAATGGAGGTAAAAGAAATCTCTACTATTTGCAACTGTTTTGAGGCAATCTTAGAAATGCTGGGTAACTGCATTGGCCAGACCTGTCTGAGAAGTGCAGTGATTCAGCTCTGATGTTACTGCTGCTCCTGGCAGTGCTAAACCTCCACGGCTGACCTTGGACAAGGCAATTAAATGTGTTCCTTGTTTTCCCTGGTTATCTTGTTTGTTTGCCCATCTGCAAACTCTCCTCTAGAGTCCTGCCTCAGGTTTTTGCTGCTGCCAAATCTTTTATGCTCCTATGCAAAACAAAACATCTCCAGGTTTAAAAGTAATGTCCTGCTTTTTCAGTGTCTGCCTTGTGAGCTTTTAAATTATCCCTTTCTTTCAGCCCTTCCCTGCCACACCAAATTTACAGCTGCCCTTGCTTTAAAAGCGCAAATTCATGGCTGTGCTGGGGAAAATGCCTCTCGGAGGTTGCTTTTGTTTTTAAGGAGGTTAACACTCCTTAAGTGCCCATTTTCAGATGCTGGGCTAAAACACAAGGATATTGGCCAGCAGAGTTCTGTGGCCAAGAGTCTTTTACTGTTTGAAGACCTCTGTTACCTTGTTTGCAAGAGAGAGTAGAACCACAGAGCTTCTACAGGCTATAGGAAGGATTTGTGGTAGTGCTGCTGCTGTTGCAGCCTGAATGGCCTCACAGTGGGAGAGCTGCTGTGGGTATGGTTGGGCTGGCTGGTGCATTCCTGCCTTGGAGAGCTCGCTGTCCTTTGGGGTTGGTTTTAAATCAGGTTGCTTGCTATGAGGTCTGAGGTCGTTTTTCATCACTGCACAGCAAATCAGTCTGCTCTCAGCAGAGTCCTGTAGGGTTACTGCCAGGGCAAGGCAATTAGACTTGGAATTCCATAGCTGAGGAGCTGTTTCTCTCCTTTTCCTTACCCCTGCCCTCTAGCTTGTTACTCTGGTGAAGTGAGCAGCTAAGGCAGGCACCTTGGGAAACCTGGAGTCGTTGCTTTGGCTTTGCAGAGCTGCTGGGGGCTCAGCTTCTGCATTTGAGTCAGGGACCATAGGAGTGGTGCTCAGCAGAGACTCAGACTTCCAGCCTGTGGCAGTGGTGAAATGCCTTGACCTTGACAGCCAAACTGGGGAGTTCTTGCTCTGAACTCGGTGCTGCTGGTGTTTCCTTGAGCTCTCCAGCCAGCATGGAGCTGATCCCATGGTAAGCTGTGAAAGAGTAAAGTGCAAACAGTGCTGAGTTACCTTCTTGGAAGTACTGAAGGTTGTTCTGCCTTAGGTGGTTAATTGCTCACTAATGAATGTGCTGTTGATAACTTTCAGCAATCCATGGAGGCATGAAAAGGATTTCTCATTGAATTAAATTTTCTTTTAAATTTAAAAATTTTAAGTTCTAAAATTGTAATTTCTAAATTCTAAAATTCTAAGTTCTATAAAAAATTAACAGCTATTCAGCCTGCTTTTGCTTTGTCAATACAGCTAACTCACTGGCACGTCATGCCAGCCCTACCCAGGTCCAGCCTTTGGAAAATCCACTTGGCTCATCTGCATATGTATGTGCACAAAGGGCAGAGGAGGAGTCCTCATCTGCCCTGACCAGGGGGCAAGGTCATGGACTACAACATGGTGTGTTGTCACTGTCAACCTGATGTTTGGAAACAAAACTGACTCTGTTTTCCATCCTTTTCAGAAACAAGAGTTGAAATAAAAGAGTCTGTCCGTGGACAGGATATCTTCATCATACAGACAATCCCCAGGTGAGGCACTCGGGGCTTGGCTTTGCCCATGTGCTTTGAATCCTGGATCAGCAGATGCTTCAGTGGGTTGCTCACTATTAACAACAACCACAATAACCAGTGGAGCTTGTGCAGTGTTGTCATTACTCTTAGATCTCAGGCCCCACGTAGTGTTAAGCTGTTAACATTCCCAGGGGATTGATTGCAACACTGAGATGCTTCCCATCAAATAACTGGAGTGTGTCACTCGAGGTAGGAACAGGAGTGACTGATGGTTTCCACTGAAACATCCCTGGTCTGTGTGTTGGTGGCCTTTCAGGCTCAGCTGTTGGCTGATTTCTGACTGGCATTTCCATCCCAGGATGGGTGATTTCCTCAGCCTCACAACCACCAAGCATCGAGCCAGCATCAAACAGCAGCTGCTGCTTTCATTGCAGGCTGGCTTATTCTTCCTCTTTTGCTGCAGTGATGTGAAACTGAGCTTCCCTCATGTACTTTTACAGTTCTTGATTATGATGGGCCTTTTTGGGTTTTATTTTGGGCTGTTCTTTGCTAGGAGTAAAAGAAGTGCTGCAAGTAAGGAGAGGGATAGAAAATCATCTGTAATCCGAGGAACCTTGCTCCTTCCTGGCTCAGGAAGAGTAATGGGACAGCACTAGGGAGATGGGAAGGGAACTACCAATAAATGATAACTGCAAATCGACCTACTGTGAGTAGGGGAGGTGCTGTTTTCAGAGATGAGGTATTGATATTAACAAAACAAGGATACTCCTGCTCTGATTGGTAACTTATTACTTCTTGTGATCTCCAAAATCTGAGCAGAATTTGATAACTTGGAAAAAGCTGAGCTCAATTGTAGCTCAAAAGAAGCAGGGAGCAGAATTGCCTGGACACGGGATTTTTCCTTGCTTGCCAAAGAATGAGAAGCCACTGAGAATTCAAGTCCATTTCCTCTGTGAAATGCTTGGCCTGTTGTAAAGAAATCAGTAGAACTACTAGACCAGGACCAGTTTACTCACTTCTGGAATTCCTCTTGCAGGCAGAAACATTTTCCTAGGGCTCATCTCTCTCCAGAGAGATGCCCCAAGTGCCCAAGTGTTTCCTCCCTCAGGGAGAACTAAATCTCTGCAAGATGAAAATCCCTTGCTGTAGGATTATGTTTCGGGTGAAAGGTGCCATTCTGTTGTCCCCTACTGAAGGAGCTCTCTGAAATAACTTGTAACTGAGAGCTGTGTAAACATGAAACAGATCAAGTGCTCAGGGAGAACTAACTCAGAGCATTAGGGATAGGAACAGTTTTGGGCGGGGAAAACCTTCCCTTTAACTTTAACCTGTTGATCCCCTTGTTTCTCCATTAACTAAATTCAGTGTTTTGGGCCAAGAAATGGATCTTTTTTAGCCAGAATGTTCAAGGCCCTCCAGGTGTGGAGCCAGTGTTGTGCAGCCAAATCATCTTTCATTCCTAAACTGCAGCTGTGCCTTGCTGCATTGCTAGAGAGGACAGGTTCAAGGACATCTCAATTTTGCAGTGGGTTTCAGGGAGCTTTTCAGGAGAGTCAAAACAACAACTGTGTGGAATAATCTAAGAATAGGACTTCCACACTCCGTAGTGGTTTGAAAAGAAAATATTAGGACTTGTTAGTAGAGAGGGAAACAACCTTGTTATGCTGCAGTGTGAATTCAAGTCTGCATCTTAAATGCACAGAGAGAACAGAAAGACCTGAATGTTTGATACAGGCTCTCTGTCATAAAAGCCGTAGCACAACCAAAAGAAAAGGTGACAAGGACAGTTCCCATCCAAGATTGGTGTGTGGACTGGCATTTGTATGAGGGAAAATCAAATAGCTCATGTTTAAGTGGCAGAAAAATGAATCCGTTTTTGATTTTGTGATACCCTAAAGGCAAAAGGAGCCTTTTAGTGCTGAGTGTTGGTGCTGATTGCTGCAAAGTCCGTGGACAGTGTCACATAAGGTGTGTGCTCAACCTCCAGAGCAGGGGTGTCCAGGGATGGCCCAGGCAGAGATAAGGAGCAGCAGGGGAGGCTCTGGGGTGGTAAGCAGGGTGTGGGGTAGCTGAGCTGTCTCTGAGTGTCCTGGTAATGAGCTGCCAGCCCCTGTGGGAGGTCTTGGCTCAGCCCTGCCAGCAGTAACTAACTGAGCATGGCTTCAGGGCCAGAGATGGGGAGGGCAGCAAGAAGCCTGGGATGCTCTCTTGGGTACCTGTTTTGGAGATGCAGGGGCTGGCCTTCCTCCACCAATGTCATTTTCCCCACCTGGTGCCCTTGGTTGGAGTCAGTGCCCCTTGCAGAGGAGCAGGTCAATGATGGCTCAGCATGAAGCCATCTTAGCCCACCCACCCTGGGCCCTGCTGGAGGGACAGACACATCTGCCTCTGCCTGTGCCAGCTGGTCTGCAGGAGCTTCCCAGAGCCCAGCTTGAGATCCTGGGAGAAGTACCCTCCTCCTTCTCCATCAGTATGGCTACTGGTGTCCTGCAACAGCACCAGGACTACTGGTGCCTTTTGAAGTCCCAGTCTTGTTCTCTACCTGCTTTCCATGTGAATATGTATGTATTTGCAAAGAGTAAGTTGAAAAATGATGATGAAAAATACTAAGTTTCTCAGATGAACTTTAAATATGCTTCAGTTTGACCACTTTGTTTTTATATGACACTGATAGTAGCATCTTTTTCTCCTCTCACAGCCCCACTGGCACAGCTAAATCACCAAAGGGAAGAAACAGTTCTTTGTTTGCTTGTTGTCCTGTGTGGCAGGGGGCTGTGTTTTATGTAATTCTTGGCTGGGTGCTCTGGAGCCAACAAAGCTTTCTTGTGTGTAAATGGCACTGTGTGCTCAGACCAGCGGGACAACAGAGACCCAGAGCCTCCCAAACAAAGAGGCACAAGTGGAGGTTAATTTCCAAAGGAAGGGAGAGCAGTGGAGCAATGGAAATGGTCAGAGGTTTGTCATGGGTCATGTCTTTGGGCAGCTGGAGAAGCTGTCTCTAGTGGCTGTTTCAAGAGGAAAGCAGGGCCCAAGCAATGTCTGGGTAATGTCCAGAAAGCTCTGCAGAGCTTTAGGCTGCTCTGTTTACTCTGCTGCTGTGTGGAAAGATGGCCCAGGCAGCCCCTGCCCTGTCACCGTGGGCTGCACAGCTGAGCCACTCCAGCCCTGCCCTCCTGAGCAGGGGGGTCTGTATTGCAGGAGTGCCTGTCCTGCCATCTGAAGCACGTGCTCTTCAGGTTCTAAAAGTTCTCGAGTCAGTCTGGTGATGCAGACAGTGTGTCTTGGTGTTGGTCTTAAGAACTGAAGGGGAGCTAAGGGCTTAGTTTTTTTCCTCATCCCAAAATTAATTAAAATGCAGATTAATGCACTCCTACTGGGCCGTTGCCGTCATTGTGAGGGAGCAAAGTGTAAATAGGATATTTCAGTCTCATGACCAGTGATAGACTCAAGGAAACAGCAGGAAGCTGAGTCAGGAGACGTTTAGGTTGATGTCAAGAAAAGGTTTTTCACCCAGAAAGTGGTTGAGCACTGGAACAAGCTCCTCAGGGAAGTGGTCACAGCACCAAACCTGTCTGAGCTCAAGAAGCATTTGGGCACCACTCTCAGGGACAGGGTGGGATTGTTGGGGGTGTCCTGTGCAGGACCAGGAATTGTACTCATGATCCTGATGGACCCCTTCAAACTCAGCATATTCTATGATTCCTCTGCCTATGTTACTTTTTGTTTGGTTGTTCTTCTTTCAAGAAACAGTCCTTTAGCATTTCCTGTGCTATTGTTCCTTCCATCTCTAGTTAAGCTAGTGTGGAGATGCCAACCTCCACCAAAGTGCTGTGTCTGGAGTTTGTACTGCTCCAATTGCAGGATTTCTTAAGGCAGGAAAAATAACCTGCATTACATTAAAGAGGAAAATACTGTAAGAAATCCAGTGTGGATGAAGTTGTGTTGGCTGCATGTGTTCCGTTTCTTTAAAAGACTATTTTATTTCAAATTACACTGTCTCAAGTGACATTTGTTCCAAACTAAATTCTACACAAAGTCTTTTTTGTCAGATGATGGAGGGAAATCATCATACACCTTATGTTAGAATATAGAATCAAATTCCAGACCACAGCTCTTAAGTGCTGGTGTCATGTCCTGTATGTGTAAGAGTTGATTGTAATTTGTTGTGGCATGGTGGAAGGAGCTGTATGGCTGCAATCTGGGTCTGGCATACATTGGCCTGAGATGTAGCATTACTTGATTGGAATTTTGGTGAGGGGTGTTCTGGGTATAAATTGAAAAGAAGTTACTTTGGAAAAACACCTGCTAATATTTGGAACCGTGTTCAAATCTAGAGATGTGAATACTGCTGTCATGGAACTGCTGATCATGGCCTATGCACTGAAGACTTCCTGTGCCAGGAACATCATTGGAGTCATCCCCTACTTCCCCTACAGCAAACAGAGCAAAATGAGGAAGAGAGGCTCCATAGTCTGCAAGCTGCTGGCTTCAATGCTTGCTAAGGCAGGTGAGTGTCCCAGGGAGCAGCAGCAGGGCAGGCCTGGTGCTGCTGGGCATCCCAGAGGTCATCTGTCCTTCCATTCTCCTGTTTGATGTGGGAATGTGTTGCTGAGGTCTTGAGCCATACTGAGGGTGTTAATTTTCTTCAGCTTTCTTGTTTCTTTGTAACTTGCACCTGGGAAGTGGCCAGGAAATGTTATAGTGAAATACAGTGTCAGCCCAGTGCTGGGGCATTACATGCCTGTTTCTCATTATGTCTGTGGAATGTTCTGTGTTAATCTGTTTATGATTATTTTATGACATGACATAATAGTCTGAGTAATAGCTAAAACAGTCTGGAAAATGGAGGTTTTGAAGGAACTCCAGCCATGTGGAAATATTTTCAATAAATTGTTGTCTTTTTTCCCCCCTTAGGTTTAACACACATTATCACTATGGACCTTCATCAGAAGGAAATCCAAGGCTTCTTCAGCTTTCCAGTAGACAACCTGAGAGCATCCCCTTTCTTGCTTCAGTATATACAGGAAGAAGTGAGGTTACTCTAGTTCTGTGTATATCTACTTGTCTGAGCTCATTTTAATGTGATGGCAGCATTGGGCCTCTGCTTAAGTCGAGGTGGTGGTGTCAGTCTAGGTCAATCCTTCTGTTAATGAATTCTTTCTCGGGGGTACCAATTGCATGTTTCATGGAAAGACTTTACACTTTTCTGATTGGATAGAAACTGAGCTGCAGCACAAGCAGGAGAGGAGCTTGCTCTCTGTGGAGTTAATGCCATTTGAGAGCTTGTGCTCCTGCCTCTTATCACCTCTGAAATCCTGTAAACTGCTTCCCCTCTCCCTTTGTGCTGTGCTGGATTTCTGACTGCTCTGAATTATTGATAGACTTTGTCTTGGGCTGAGTGTAGGAGTGCTGAGCTCAGCAGGGTTGGGAGCAGGGCACGGAGGTTTTATTCTCCATGTGCAAAAGATGATTTATTCCCACGTGGTGAGAGCAAGGCTTCCCCATATGGGGAGGGTTAAACATAGTGAACATTGCCACCTTTGCAGAATACACATATACGGGTGTTGGAAGCAAGTGCAGTTGCCTCTCTAGTTTCTTGTTACAGAATGAAAATTTGGTTCTGGGGAGGAGGATGGGTGAAATTATTCAGCCATATATCAAACCAGTTACTCCCTAGCAAGGAGGTCTTTTTTAAATTAATTAATTTTTTATCACGTCCAGATTCCAGATTACAGAAATGCAGTTATTGTAGCCAAATCTCCTGGTGCTGCTAAAAGGTAAATGAATGCTTTGCTAGCTGGTTAAAAGTTACTTGGAAAATACCTGAACTGGTGGAAAATATACCAGGGAAAGTGTGGGAGGGTGGCAGGTGGATTGACAATCTGGTCATAATTCCTTTGTGGCTGGAAGTGGGATGGATGTGGTGCAGGTAGGCAGCTGAACTTTGTATTCCCACCTTCATGGGAGTAAACTCTGGCAGTCCCACTGAAATGTTTTACTGGGGGTCAGACTTGCTGGAGTTTGAGCAGTGCCTGACCATCTCAGAAAGCATTTCACATGTGGAGGAGCACAGGAGACCCTGTGGTGGGGCTAAGGGCTAGAGTGGGATTTGGGATATTAATAAGGGATGAAAATTCACTTCCAATGAGTTTCCACAGAGAAAAGCCACAGAGGTGCAGCCTTTGCTTGCTGTTATTGTGGGAGAGACTTGCTGTAGTGGGCTGTGAAGCTGAATCAGCCCAGCGCCCTCCTGAGGGGCTGTTTTTGTCTTGCAGGGCTCAGTCTTATGCCGAGAGGCTGCGCCTGGGGCTGGCAGTGATCCATGGAGAGGCTCAGTGCACGGAGCAGGACATGGATGACGGGCGTCACTCCCCTCCCATGCTCAAAAATACAACTGTGCATCCTGGCCTGGAGCTGCCATGTAAGATCAAGCTTCTCTGCTTACCTTTGGGGGAATAAAAAGTTAAAAGTTTGGTGGGAAATTTCTGTTGGTTTATCTGTATGGGTGTAACCAACCTAAAGGCAATTAGACCAGTGGAATTTTTTTCATGGAAAGGTTGATATCAGTGAGTTGTGGGAGAAGTCACATGGGAAGGTTTTTATTTAACTCCTTCTGGCCATGCAGAGCATCAGTATTTTCTCCTTGGCTCTGCCTGCTCCATAATGTTAAACTGACAAACCTCTGATAAAGGTGGTGCTTTTACAGTGTTCAGCAATCAAATTCATTGAGCTGATGAAACAAAGGAGATGTAAAAGTGTAAGTAATGAGCTAACAACCACTGAGAGAGGCCATTGGCTCTATTGGGGAGGGGAGGGCTGGTCTTTGTCTTCCCTTCTCTGCAGCCATTGTTACTACTGGAAATTTTCTTTATCTTGGCACCCAGGTGATCATATTCCAGTGTCTGTTTTGACAAGGTTTTGAGGTTCATATGGCTGAGGTGAACAGCTTCTCCAAGAGCATTGCTGACCTGCTTCCAGAGCTCTTGCCCTTGATTTGGGAGCAGAGAGCAAAAGAAAAAAAAGGAAACTTGTGTTCTGGGAGATGCCATCCCCAGGATGTATTCCTGCAGCAGTCAAATAACAGCAGTATGATCAAAATCCAGCTCTCTTTTGGGAGGATTTTAGCTTTCTAGGCAAGTGGTGGTAGCACAGAAATTGGAAGCAGGAAGGTGACTGAGAGCTGCCAGTGGGAAAGGCTGTGTGCTGCTGTGTGTGGCAACATCAGCAGTGGTTTGGGCTAGTGATAATCATCTAATCTTTGGAAATTTAGGGAGAACATCCAACCATTTTGTGAGCAGCTTGGGAGGGGAGGCAAGTAAGACTGCAGGCACTTTACCCTAGTTGTGTCTCACTGGAATACAATCAGTTAAACAGTGCTTTTGTTGCTGGTGAAACTCCTCTTGGGCCTTGGGGGGCAGGTGGGGTTTGGCAGTGAAGTTTGGGGCTTTATTGTTCTACTTCTGACAAGGATATTTTTTTCATGCCTGTCCAAGAAAGCAGGAATTTGCATGGTTATTCCTCACTTTCTCCTTTCCCTCCTATTCAGGAGGATGCTGTCCTCCAGAATATCCGTAGCTGACATTTGTCTGCTATGGAGGAATTGATGTGATTGTGTTTTTATTTCCAGCCATGTCACTTCAAAGAAGCTCAACTGTGGAAGGTTGTGCTGCTGGAGAACCCTGTAAATGGCTGTTCATACAGAAATGTGCCCTTGTCCAGTTTAGTTATGAATCCAATGGAAGATTGTTTTCAGTCCTCAGCTATCCAAACACAAACTAATTTGCTGTGTATCACCACTTTCTTATTTTATCTCTTGTTGCACAGACTCAGCACTTGACCAATGACCTTACATCCCAGCATGCCTAAGGCACAGTGTAAAACAGTCGAGCTGTGGCTTGGCATCTCGCTGTCATGGGGTGGATTGTGGGGCAAACTTGTCCAAAACTCTCAGTAGAAGCTGCATTTCTCTGCAGTTTTCTAACCTGAGACATACCTGGTTTTAAGTGAGCTGGGTTCTGGTGGTGCAGAATTCTGAGGTTATCCCTATCTGAAAGCAGTCTGTGCATTCTGGTTGTGTCACAGTCTCTGGCAGACAGAGGTGAAAGTACAGCTGTAATGGCAATGCTGCAAGTGTCTGTGCTGACCCTCTCTGCTGTGCCTCCTTTCTTGTCCAGTCATTTGAAAAGCATCTTCCCACCTCAAATGTCACATAATTCCAACCCCTCGTTCAGCTTTCTCTTCCTGGTGGTGAAAGCTCTGAGGGCAGAGTGTAGCAGGGTTCAGCTGTGTGGTTGGTTGTGAAAGGTCAGACACGTGCTGCTGCTCAGAACTGGATGTTCCTTACACTACAACTGTCCCCAAACCCTCTGATTGTCAAAACAGAAGCAGTCTGTGAGTCTGCCTGGCTCAGCAACCAAACCTGGACCTGCTAGTTTGAAAGTTGGGGATGTTCCTGGGGAGTGGCTGAGACTTCTTATGGAACATCCCACTCTGGGCTACAACCAGATCAGCGTGGAGCATCCCAGACTTGGCAGTTGAAGCTGCAGGCAGTTAGAGCCAGGAGAGAGGTGAAACCTGTGTCTGGGAGCAGCCCCAGAGCCCCACAGTGATGGCTTGTGCTTTGTGCCATTCTCCATGGGCTTCCTGGGGAATTGGCCGGGCTCCTGCATCCTGGCATGCACCTTCTCCCCCTGTTCTAGCAGGGATCATGTGCTTCTAATTAATGAGTGCTAGGCAGTGTAATGGCTTATTTATTGTCCTGTGAGCGTGGCCTGATGTGATATTCTGATTCGTAGGGAGCCACAACAGAAAAACGCCAGAGGTGCTTCTAAATTGCACTTAAAATGCTACGCTAGAGTGGCAGCAAGAGCCCATCACTGCAGCCCCTGAAATCAGAGCCTTGGAGACAGGATGTCACTCCAAGGTTATTCCCTTTGATTGTGTGCTTTTGTGTCTCAGAGCTTGCAGCTGGCTCGGGGCTGTGCCTTAACAAATGCGTGGAGACTCTTTGCATGTTTCCTCGAGAAAAAGAGTGGGGCACCATCTGTTATATCATTTCAGTGGCTTTGGAATTCAGTACTTTATACAGAGAGCTAATGGTCTGCTTGAATCCCAGAGCCCAGCAAACTGCCACAAAGGGAGTTTGGGGGAGAAACTGGAGTAACTAAAGGTCTGTTCCTACTTCCCTACCCCCATCTTGCCTGTGTTTAGGCTGGGGCACAGGGATGTTTTCTGTCCTTCCAAGGTTATCTCTACACAAAACAATTCATTCTTGAGCAGCCTTTTGCTCCCAGGCTCTGTTGTAAATGCAGCATTATATTTCTTGGTGATTGTCACTTTAATTCACACTGTCAGCTCCAAACTGAATTTATTTTAGTATTCCTTAACCTGGTTTTGACCACTTAATTAAAGCAACATGTTTGCACACCTGGGCATGTTCTTTCCTAGTGCCAGTGATCCTGCCTTTAACATGTGGTACTTTGGTGTATATTATGCACATCTGAATGAAAGTGTTCTTTGATATTCTTATTTTGTAAAAAATGCTGGTTGGTCTAGTTTTTTCTCTTTATTTTTCCCCCTCAGAAGCTACAGATACCACAAGCATCTTTTCTTACTCTCCAGAAAAAGTCAGCAACTCTTTAACCCAAACTTGTACGTGATCCAAGGGGTTACACCAGGCAAAAGTACCACTATGGCTTATTTCTGTTACTCTCTCCTGTCTACAAACATAGAGGGTTTGTGTCTGGGAGGAAAATATTCTTTATTATTTGAATCATTTTTCAAGGCACCTCCTCATAGCAGTTCTGACTTGCACATCTTGATATGTCCAAAGATTTTGAAGAAGAAACTGGCTGCACTAACCCTTGTGTAGACTCTCATCACCTTGGAGCAGTTGAGATTTGATGTGGTTGTGGGTAGATCTTTGGCTTGCAATTTTTTTTTCTTTTTTTTGCAGAGAAAATTGAACAAGGAAAAGGGAGAACATCTCTTTAAGATCCGGGTAGGTCGACATGTTGCCTACCATTCTTTAAAAATAAACCAAAATTGAAATACAGCTCTTTAAAAACAGACAGAGATGCAAAGCACTGCTAATCTTGCTGGTTGCCATGTTACCCTTTAAGCATAGCAAGGAATGTGTCTGCTTCCTTCAGGGAGTAGAAGGATATTGATTTGCCAAAACTCCACGTCTCTGTGAGTAAAATAGTGCTGAATTTCAGCTCCCCAGGCCTGTTCACCATTTGTGTAGAAAAGTTTCCCCTGACCTGGCTGTTGTAAGCAGAGATGGCACTCATCAGTGGATACACACGGAGGCTGGGATGGCAGCCAGGTGGAATCCTTTTGATACTTCACAGCTCCCACCAGGAGCTCTATTACTGTCCAGACCAGATAGTAAACTCATAACTAATCTAAGCAGGTCAGTAATGCCTGTAACTGAAATTTAAGACCTGCTTATATCTCATGGTGCTTAATCTTCGTTTATTACAAATAATCTTCCTTCTCATGAGAATATTTTTCCTTCAGGATTTAGATGTGACTTTGCATTTGATAGGAGACTCAGAAATAACCATGCAAGGGAGGCTGAGAAATCTGTGCCGTGGAGCTGTTGATTAACTCTTCAGTCCAAGGTAGCTGTGACTTTTAACTGCAAAACCTGGCAATGAGTGATGGGACTTTGGGCAAAACAGAATTACTGGACACCTTTTATACAGTTTTGGTAGGTTTATGGAAAACCAGCTTGTGGAGTAGGTTATGGATGTGAAGAACAGCTCTACACAAGAATCTTCGAAGTTGTGGTCCTTAAAATTGCTTTCATCATATCCCTCAGTGTGACTCATTCACCCCGTTGTGCTTGCACTCTAAGCATTCCCAGGCACTGATGAGATATGGGAATAGTACTGGATCATCCTGCTGTGCAGGATGGGGAGTGTAATGTAAGACTTTTTTGGTGAGGAGAGCAGAGATCAATATTCAGACAGTCTTTTTGGTGGGCAATGGCTTTTGTTCTCCTGCTGCTCAGGAATTACATTGAAGTGGCTTATCCTAAAGGAGAAAAATCTTGCTATGTCTGAACTCCTTGAGGCACTTGAGAAGCCTCTGTGGGTGGAATCCTGCCAAGACCTGAGCTTACAAAAGGAGGGGCACCAAGTGCCTTGGTAGGAAACTTTGACCTCACTGTGGAGAGTATAAAAGAGGGATATGGGGTGTGGAGGTGGGCCAGGTAAGTGTTACAAAATGCTGGAGGTGCCTCTTGGCTTCAGTGGTTAGATCAGCCCAGATTGTCACCTGTTGACACATGTCTGCCCACCACAGTGTCCTTTCCATGCTGGAAGTTTTTGTTCCAGCAGCCCATGGCAAGTGAGAGGTTTGGCAGATGGATAGCAAGTCCCTGGCCTGTGCTGGAGGTTGGTTGCTGTTTGGTGTTAAGTCTGAAGGCTGTGTTACATCTGGATACTCTCAGTGTATCTTAGTTCAGATTTCTGGTATTTTTATGATGCTGCTGGAATTTTGGCAGGATGAGGTTTTGCATGAACCCTGTCAGTGCAAAAGAAGTGTCAGGAGGGAATGGAACCTTATTTCCCAGCACATCTTTTCACTGTGTGCCAGGTAGCACAGCTTGTCAGTGTATCCTTTGATCCAATTGCTGGTTGCACTGTGCTTGTTGAACTGAGTTTCAACTGGATTTTGTCCTACTCTTTCCATTTTTCCACTTCAAAAATAATCAGCAAATTTGCTTCTGCAAACTTCCTTAAGCTTTCTTTGCCTGAGCAGGTGGTATTAAGGTTCTTACACCCTCTCAAAGACCCCTCTGTGTTTGGTGATGTGAGAAAGCAAATGAGCTGCAATGTAAGTCTCTGATCCTACAGATGATTTACTGAGACCAAGAGGTGAAAAGTTGCACCTTGTAAAGCACCTGCCCTTTGAGAGGTGCTGCTTGGAAAGGCCCATTTGTTGTTCCCAGTCTTGGAATAGACCCCTTTACAAGTCCTGTGCTGGAGCACTGATATTGCCCATAAATCAGGTGCTGATTTGTAACTCTCCTTGCACAGGGTTCTGTTAGAGAGTTGAAATTGCTTTCTGTTACTGAGGTTAGTACAAAATCGCCACAGAAACAGAATTTCCTCTTTATGCAGCAGTGCTGTTCTCATTTAGGTGGGTGTCAGGATCGTGTAAAGCACGTCTGTGTCTGCATCAATGTAAGATGTTCAGTGGTTCAGCCTCTTGTGTGGTGGAGCTGTCGGGGTTTGACTCAAGCCTGACTCACCTGGACTCTCCTTTCCTTCTTCTTTAGTGATGATGGCCAAGGAGAAGCCGCCAATTACTGTGGTTGGAGACGTTGGAGGAAGAATTGCCATCATTGTGGTATGAGTGTGAGGGGAACAGGTGGGGGGTGGCTCCTTCACAGCACCTTTGCTTCAGCTGTTCTATCCCTGATGGACAAAGGGATGGCTGGTGTAGGGGTAGGAACATGTTTTTTAGGCACTCTTTTCTCCAGTAGTGCTGGTGGCTTTGGTTATTTCAACTTTCTGTTGAAAATCATTTGCATTTCAACTAAAATCTCCTTGCTTCCTTGATTCTAAGTGTCAGATGTCTGCAAGTAATGAATAAATCCAGGGCACGCAGAGAACACTCCTGAAGTGTTAAAAAACCCCAAACAAACAAAAAACTTGCCAAGCCTCTCTTACTTGCTATGCCATGCTGCAGTGTAAGTAATCAACATGCAGCTCCTACCCCATGAAAAAATACTCCTTGCTGATAATAAACAGCCAGTGCATGTGCAGGGCCTAATTTGTTTCCAAGACACAACATTTGTTCTCCACACTAGCAAAAGGGTCGTTAAACCAGGGAAATAGCATTCACAGATTAGTCATGCACGTGGCTGTCCTCATCAGCGGCTGAAGTAGACAGGGATTCTGTTTTTCATCACCCTGCAGATCCACTCCTACCCTGCAGGCTCAGTAAACTTCTGCTTTTGATGTTATTTCTGTTTCTGCTCAGGATGACATCATTGATGACGTGGAAAGCTTTGTAGCTGCTGCAGAGATCCTGAAAGAGCGTGGAGCCTACAAGATTTTTGTGATGGCTACTCATGGGCTCCTGTCAGCAGATGCTCCCCGTCTCATAGAGGAATCCTCCATTGATGAGGTGGGTTTGGTCTCCAGACTTCAGAGTGGGGGCTGGCACCAAAACTCACAAATTGATGTCCTTCCCATGGCACGTAGCTCATGTCTGGAATTACTCATTTAATCAGGTGCTTTCAGTTAGCTGGTTCTTCATTGGAACAAAAAAAAAATTGTGTGTGGTTAATACTTGCTCAGATCAGATCTGCTTCCCTGATTGTATTTTCTCCCTAATAAAAATATTAGTCATCCCTGCCTGGACACTTCCCTCTCTGCAGCTGGGGCTGTGTGGCTGCCATCTCACTGTGCAGCCCCTCTCTCCCAGCTGATCAGGGGCTGCTGGTACATGAAGAGGACAGGATTTCAAACCTTAGTAATAGATCCTCTGATCTTAGTGGACCCACCAGCCTGTTGGAGAGTGCTGGTTATGCTGGTCCCATCAACAGACTTTCACAGAGAGGACACAATTAATTTTAATCTTTTTTCCTAATATGCAAGGATTTCTCCCCCTGAGCTGTGAAACAGCAGTACACACCCCTCTTGGAGTCAACCCAGGGTGGCTGCTCAGGGAGGGTGAATGTTCAGCAGCACAACTTCCTTTCCTTTCTGGCCCTGCATAGGTGGTAGTGACCAACACTGTTCCTCACGAGGTGCAGAAGCTGCAGTGCCCCAAGATAAAGACTGTGGATATCAGTTTGATCCTGTCAGAAGCCATCCGGCGAATCCACAACGGCGAGTCCATGGCCTATCTCTTCCGCAACATCACTGTCGATGACTAGACCTGAGCCTGCCCCCGTCCTGGATTCCACAAGAGAAGGAAATCTGCATGGAAAGGCAATACCATAAAACATAGGCATAACACAACTGTTTATTTTTGTAGGAGCATTGAGGTTTTCAGGGTCTTGAGCCATGAGATCTAACAGAAAAAAAATCAACCTGACCAGCACTTTACAAGTGAATAGAAGGGGCCACTGGCAGTGGGGGGGATTACACCTTAATTAAGAGAGATGGAGAAATGAGGTGGTGTTGAATTTTTAAGTTCCTTTAATGATTTTTTTTTAAAATGTGTTATCTCCTGCCCTGTAGGGGCAGAAAGAAAAGCTAAACAGAAGTAGCTGTCAGCTTGTGAGAAGGGAACAGAGACTGCTCATTGCTGTGTGGGCAGCAAGAGCTGCCTTTGGGGTTTTTCTGCCTGTGTCTCACCCCAGAGCACAGAAGGGAACGTTCAGGCTGTGCTGCTGGCAGAGCTGAGCCAACAGCAGCTCTGTGCCAGCTCAGTGGCCTCTCCCCTCCTGCACAGCAGAGCAGGGACTTTCATTAGAACTAAGTTAGCGGAACATCCCAAAAGGACAGCTTAGGGCAAGCCATTGACAGGGCTGCTCCCAGGCCTGGCTCAGGGAGCTGGGAACAGGCTCACGTGTGTGCCCCAGCAGAGCAGGGAATGCTAGTTAATGTGTTGGCCTTTTCATTTTGCGAGCTTTGGATCATTATTGCTCTTCATTGATGAGTCACGTGAGGGTCTTGCTCCTCACTGGAACACTTGTCTGCACTGCAAAGCCAGGCGTGATTTTTGGAGTTGCCTGGGGCTGAATTTGTGGCAGAGTCTTGTGGGGAAGGGAAGTTGGAATGTCTGCTTCTAATGCAGCTGTGCTCTCCAAAACACTAACACTGAACCTGCAATAAAAAGTGTAAGATTTTTCAGCTTTAGTGCTTCCTGTGAATCCTGTGCCCTCTGAAGAGCTGCTGTGTCTGTTCAGAGGGGCTGTTGCTGTAACAAGGCTCACTTGGCAGCTTGCAGCCTTCTTCCACGGGGAAGTAGGACTGGCTGATCATTCCTTTCTTGAGTGATACTAATTTTTGGGTGGAGGGAACACTTGAGGAAGCAGCTCAAGATGCATGTGGAGGGCTTTGTCTCCAAGATGATAATAAGGTTAAACTCCCAAACTGATCTTTCCCCTTTTCCCACACTCCAGAAAAACCTACACTACTAGTCTGCTGATGTGAGGAACAAATAAAAGCTGCTGGAAGCAGTTGCTTCAACAGCACAGGAAATGTTCAGTTGTTTAGTTTTGGTTATCCTTATTCTACACCTTTCTATTCCACTCCAACATCTACAATGTGCCACGGGGCCAGCAGTGACTGAGCAGGACAAGCCTTGAACACCAGGCAAACAAATGGATCTCAGCATGCAGTGCTTGGACCACCCTCAGTATCCAGCATGGATTTAACCTCCATGCCAAATTCCGTGAGGGATGTGCAGGACTGGATGAGGTATCAAAGCTGTTGATGGGTTTTCCTGTATTTTCAAACAAATCTCAGCTGTACTCTGTGACCACAGCCTGGCTCTTCACCCTGGAGGGGTAACATGATACTGCAAGGATTGAACAGATCATCTGGAGCTGTGGAGTCCTTGCAGATGGTTGGGGCTCCTTTCTTCTGAGCTAGTGCTGGACAATGTTCTTCATTCTGGAAGCCAGTGTTAGAAGTGTGAGCAGTATTGCTGGTCTCTCCCCTTCAAGGTGCTTGTCAGACCTGCCAGGAGCAAGGCTGGGGCCCATTGAGGGTTGTTGCCCCATTCAGGTTTGCTTTTGCTGGGCTGTATTTGGGTACAAAGCATAGAATCACAGCACCACTGAGCAGAGGGTTGCTCCTGTGTGCCCCGGGCCATTGTCCTGAATGAATGTTTTATGGTTGCTTAAAGAATCATCAGCAAAGGGATTGGCAAAAGCAGGCTTAGTATAGAAGTGAAAGTTTCACAAAGTTGTTGGCAAGGTTCACTCTGCTACTTACTACATGGTAAAAGCAAACTAAAATCTCAACCAAATCAATCTAAACCCAAAATCAATCCAAAAATTATGTACATTGAGTCTGAGGAGGGGGGAAGGGTAAGAGTAGGAAAGGCAATGATGAAAGGAAACACGGGATGAATCACAAGGTTCAGAGTAGACCCCATTGCAAAACTGAGCCCCAGACTTGACCAACAGTTTAGGCCCAAAGGTTTAACAGCACTGAAAAGCATAAGCTGTTAAGCTATTGCTTATGCTAAAGTTAAACAATTTAACAATTTCATATAGCATTTACTTAAAAGTCTAAAGTACTTAAGAATCTAGGAGAACAATATCCATAGTATATTTGCTATAGTGCATTCCCACTCACAGACCTGAAGGAGCCTGTACCAGGTACCTCTGAAAAATTCCCCTCAAGCTCCTGGGAATACTCACATCAGATGTCTTTGCTTCCTCTCAACAGGCAAAGGGTTGAGCTTCGAGGAATGGTCATAATTCCTTTCCATCCTGGTACAATTCAGGTCAGCAGCTTTCCTTGAAAGTTCGATAACAAAAATGTTGTTCTGCTTGGGTTGTTATTCAGGCAAGAAAAATAATTTTCCAAGGCTGTTTGTTCAAAAACAGGAGCTTGTTAGACAGTACAAGTTCCTTGGGAGCAGACAGTGTTTTTGTTAAGATTGAGAGTTGCTCAGCTCAGGTGCTGTTCTCAAGGCCAAGGCCTAACAAGCATTTCTCAGATCATAGTGCAGCTCAAGAGCAGAGGGGGAGGCACCACCAGAATCCACCCCGTGACTAAAGACAACTTCTCTTGCTCCACAGAGTGGCCATGTGGTCACCTCTTGCCTCTGTGCCTATAAACAGGGATTTATTTTGTCCAGATTATAAATTGAGAGAAATTTTTGATCAGGTTAGCTAAATACTGTGATTTTTGAGACTGTTGAATGTGATGGAACAATACTGTGTATGCAAGGACATCTGTGGGACAGTGCTACCTGTCTAGCTAATATAAACACTCCAACATATAGAACACTACAGTACATTAAGCATAAAATGACAGAAATCAGTAAAATTACAATAGGATGGAACGTTAGATCTGGAATTCCTGTGGCAGGGTGACCACCCAAACACAGTCCCACCAGTGATATTCTCCATTTCTCATCACTCTTGGCAACAAATGGTGTATCTCTTGTGATCAGAGCTTTGTGTCCATTGCTTCAGACACCTTCCAGCAGTCAACACAGCTTGTCGTGCTGCAGTAATTTTTCCTCCAGTGCAAGGTTCATTCCAGTGAGGGTGAGCAGGAAATCTTGCTGGGATGTGTAGGTAGATTGTAGCAATTGATGGGTTGTGACAGAACTGAATAGTTGAAGTCACATCCCCTAATTTTGGAGAAAACTACAAAGCCAAATGTTTGAGTGATGCCTTATTTCTGTAGTGGTGTGGTCTCTATGGAATCACAAATAGTTCTTACTCTTCCCAATGTATATAAGTACATTTTCAAGCATTTCAGCAGGACAAATTTCAAAATGACAAACATTTTGTTCAGTGTCAAGGTAAATGTCTTGGGCATTAGTGGTGTTACTTTCACATATAAATCCCTGTTGTTCCTGTACATCACACACATCAACAGTGACAGTTTGCCTTTTGTTCCCATTTTGTTGGGCCCATACTCTGTGTTGTATTGGAAATAATTCCATAGTGATTTAACCCCAGTGCAATGGTTTGGTACATGGGGTTTACCAAAGCAGTGTTTATTGTTAAAGCAAAACCTGTGACTTTACTGTTGGTAGGGTCAGAAGTGAAATTAACTGATGCCACCAAGGTTGCAATTCTCATTAAAATTTGTTTGCATTATCCCTGATTACCTTTTACATTTCAGTGGTCAAGGTACCTCCATAGCTTTCCCTTATAGTTGCTGCTGCAGTAAATTGTCTCCACCACTGAGGTTGGATGCAGCTGCAGACAGGGAGACATGCAGGCTCCAGAATGAGGAGGAGAGCAAAGAGGAAGGAGCCTGTTGGCTGTGTCCATCTTGCTCTATCTCCTGCCACCACCTCCCAGGTGAGATGCTTGGACACCTGGGCCTGTGGGATTTGCCTGCCCAAGAGAGCAGGGAGCCACTGCAGGGAATTGTGAGAGGCCCCTGTGGTTCCCACCCCATCAGACATGGAGAAGATAGGGAAGAAAGTGGAAGCCTAGCCTCTCTGGGTGCTCCCCCTGAGTCATCTCCTCCTTTGGGGTCTGCATCCCTCGTGCTTTTGAGGAGCTGCTGTCCCTTCTTGGCTGCTGAGGATGTGCTGAAGGCCAAGCCCTGCCTGCAGAGCCCCGTGCCAGCCTGGCTGGGCCCTGTGCTGCCACTGGCTCTGGTGGGGGCAAAGGACCTGGGCCCCAGAGACCCTGCCCTGGGGCTCACTCTGCCATCCCCCTCTCCTAGCTCAGGGCTCTGTGCCAGGAGCTCCACAAGGAGATCAAGGACTTGAAGGTGGAGCACGTGGCCGAGAACATCTGGACCATCCAGGAGTCCCTTGACTTGGTGAGCTGCCACTGGTGCCCCCTGGAGCTGCCCCTCACTGCACTGCTCTGCTGCCCCTTCCCTGCAGCCCTTTGAGGCTCCCAGTGTGAAGGGCACCAGAGGGGAAGAGTGGAATGTGGGAGCTCATCCCAACCCGTCTGGAGCCTCCCCACTTTCCTTCTGCCAGCCTCTCTCCAGACTGCAGGATTTCCTGGTGGGCAGCAAAGCAGGAGGAAGAGGAGGCCAGGGCCTGCCAGTGGAGCAGGACTGCAGCCCCCAGCACCTCCAGTCACTGCATGCCCCAAGGTCTCTGCTCCTGTTCCCTGCACATCCCAGCAGGAGGCACAGCCTGGCACAGGCAGAGCCAGGGCAGCTCCAGTGTGCTTTCTATTTGCTGCTCAGAAAAGGGCCATGCTCAGGGTGATGGGAGGAACAGCAGGAGCTGGTGACTCCCTGGGGCCAGGCTGCATTGACATCCCACCACAGCCCCTCCTTGCTCAGCATCAGGCAGGAAAATCAGGGCAGACGTCAGTGATCCCACTGCCTGGTGGTCAGACCTGCAGGTTTAAAAGGGAATTTCTATTCCGTGATTTTTGTAAGGATTTATCTGATGGATCACTCTGGTTCTAAGATTTTTTTCCGAGTCTTTGAGTCCTTTACTTCCTAGGCTTGTCTGGAGGCTTGTGTTTATCTGCTTTTCCCTGCTTATGTGGCTCTTTGCTTTGGAGTGAGGTGTTGAAAATCTATGTGTTGATGGAGTCAGCAGCAGCTTTCCACCATTCCCTTATCTAAAGGAGAAGGGAAACTCTCATGCTTTTGAGACCTTAAAAATAAGTGACTAGAAGTGCTTCCTCTCTGGGGCTGGTTTCGTCCTGGAGTGTTTTGGAATGCTCCAGGCTGTGTGAGAACATGGATCACCTCTCCACAGGGCACAGCCCTCCTGGGCAGGCTCAACTCACCCTGCAAGCGGCTCCTGGGGCACCACCTGCGCAATGTGAGCTGTCCTTGGAGTCATTTTCGGGGCTGAAAGTGGTAAAGGCTGGAGGTGGTGTGGCACGTGGACCCTGCAGGTCCTGTTGGCTGCTGGAACCAGGACATCACCAGCAGCGAGGGACAATGGGGACATTCCATACAGGGCTGAGCCATTGCTGTGTAACAATGGGCACTCTTTGTCAGCACAGGGGGACGCTGTAAAGAGGGACACAAGTGGCACGGGATCCAGAACAAGGCGGAAACCGAAGAGGAAGGAGACTGCTGGCTGTGCAGCTCTTCCTCCTTCTACCACCTCCTGCCACCACCTCCCACCCTACCTGCTCCTCTCCGGAGCAATGGCAGAAGAGGCTCCTGTTCATGACGATTCTGTGCTTTTGGACAGGTCAGAAGCAATGGCAACACTCACTCTGGGCCAG